GGAAACACTGTGAAACTCTCCTGCACCATGAGCAGTGGGACCAGCATCAGTGGCTACAGAGTGTACTGGTTTCAGCAGAAACCTGGGACCCCCCCTCGGCAACTGCTGTATTACAAGTCGGATTCTGACAAGCACCAGGGCTCCGGGGTCCCCGCTCGCTTCTCTGGCTCCAAAGACACATCCAGTAACACCGGCTACCTGACCATCGCCGGGGTCCTTGCGGAGGATCAGGCTGACTATTACTGCGCTGTGTGGCACAGTGATGCTTGTCACAGTGATCTAGTCAGAGGGAAAGTGAGACAAAAACCTCCTCTGCTCTGCCCAGCCGGGGCTTTGTGAGGAACTGGAAAACTGGAATCTGCTCCATACCCCGAACTCCAGCACATGGTTCATTGCAGGGGACTGAAGCCCTGTGGAGTGGCTTAAGATGAGATGGGGTCCCAAAGTGGCCAGCCCACTACCCAGGGCCCAAGCCCCAGCATATCTTCAACCCTTATACTTGTGAAGAGGCCTGTGAGGGAAAGCCAGCCTGGAACAAGAACTCTGGGAGGCGTCAACTTCCCAATGCCTCTGAAATATTGACCTACTGCTCTGCTGGCCCCTGTACCCGCTGGACCCCCGGGAAGATGGGGGTGTGTCATCGCCCAGCAACATCTGGACTGACTTAGGCCTGCGCAAATAGGCAACTATTCAAATTTGGATTCAGCCGATTCGATTTGGAGATTCGAATTGCTTTTCCAAATCAATTTGGAAAAGATTTGGAGCCGATTTGGAGAGATTCAGATATTCGGAGATTCGGCCAAAGATATAACATGCAGGGCTGGTAGTTCTCTCAAGTTCATCGGTTCAGGGATTTCTGGGAAACTGCACCTCAAATTCGTGAGAGCAAAAATCATGTCACGTGTGTGTGTTAGGCCACAGCAGGGTAAAAGCTGCAGGGTTGGTAGCCCTTGCTGAGGCTACAAAGCCTGCCAAGTTTCTAGGAGATTGGTTTCAAGGAGAGTGGTTTCTGGGAAACTGCACCTGAAGCTGCTGACAAGCAGAACTCATGACATGGGTGACACTGCGTGTGTTCAGGCACAGGGGCATGAAAACTGCAGAGCTGGTAGCCCCTGCTGAGGCCACAAAGCCTGCCAGCTGTCAAGGAGGTAGGTGCACAGGGGTCTGGGTTCTGGGGCCCTGCACCTCTGGCCACAGGCAGGCAAAACCCGTGACATGGGTGCTTGTGGGACTGTGTGTGTGTTCAGGTGAGCCCTTCCTGCTGCTGGGGCCTCTGCACAACACGGCAGTGTGCCCCCATGAGGCCTTGTCCCCCACAAAATCATGGACTCAATCTACTCAGTGGAGTTCTGGCACGCTGCGACCGGCCGGACACCTGACACCCCAGGGACCGCTGCACTTTGACTTGTGCTGCTACGTCCCACTTTCCGCACTGCCCCCCATCCCCGCACGT